TACTTCTCTGAGTGCCTAGTATAGATTCTGGAGTGTGATGCTGAAGGCCAAACAGGTGTTGCCTCTTAGCCTGTTGCTTCTGAAGAGCTGATCAAGGTAGAGGTCTTTGATACCACGGGCGAGACCAATGACGATTCTGTGAGATGAGTTTCATTAGCAGGCCTCATCCTTTTGCTGGGGAAGCAAAACAAAGACAAGCTATCTGAATATCCTAGACCAAGTTTTCGTAAGTGTTAAAAGAGAAAACAGACCTTAGGGTCAAAAAAGTTTTGGGAAACAGTAGACAAGGCAGGTGTCTTTATTGCAAGACTCTGTACAGCATTTAATACACTGAGTATTACATCTCTCCAAGAGAATGGTATTTCCCAAATGTGGTATTTTCCAAGTTGAGAATACAACCCTGTTTGCAAGTAACATCTACCGACAATTTGTTTCTCAAAATCTTGAGAACCTGGGGTATCAAGGAACATAAAATATTGCTTTAGAACCTATGTCTCTTGGAGTCGTCATTTGTCACAATGACTCTTTTTTGATTCCTCTGTCGGGTCTTTGTCACCTATTTCTCCCTGTCCTTCTTCTCTTCTCCTCACCCCTCTCTCCTCCCCTCTTGCTGCCCCTTTTCCCCCCTCCTCCCTCCATTTCCTTCCTTTTATCCTTTCATAGTCTTCATTGTCTTTGTTATTTCTTTCTTTCTTTTTTTCTTTTTGAGGAAGACTAGCCCTGAGCTAACTTCTGCTGCCAATCCTCCTCTTTTTGCTGAGGAAGGCTGGCCCTGAGCTAACATCTGTGCCCATCTTCCTCTACTTTATATATGGGACGCCTGCCACAGCACAGTTTGCCAGGTGGTGCCATGTCTGCACCTGGGATCTGAACTGGCAAACCCCAGGCCACCAAACAGAACGTGGGAATTTAACTGTTGCACCACCAGGCTGGCCCCATCTTTGGTACTTCTTTTGTCTCATCTTTCCCTCCTCCTCCTGCTTTCTCGTTTCTTGTCTGAAAGGATACAGTGTCTTGTCTATTGCTTGGTTTCATTAAGTCAACAATATTTGGTATGCCTGTTCCAAGTTAAGCAGTCCTCTGTAGGTGCCGAGTGCAAAGCCCCGGTCCCTATGTAGTAGAATTCTAGGAAGCCCCTGTCACTCCCCGCTCCACCTCTGCAATGCTCCTTCCTGACTGCCAGCCTTTGCCAGTCTTTCCTCCGCCCTCTGTGCATCTGGTTAGCTCTTCCTTTGCCATCCATCTCTTCAACTGCACTCTTTGCATGTGCCCATTTCTAATGGTCCCAGATTGCTTCAATTTTCTCACTCTCTGTACTCCTGAAGGCTTTGCCTGAAGCTTTCAGTTGGGCATTTGTCTATAATCCACCTTAAATTGTTTAAAAGGCATGTTTACTTTTGGTCTCAAACCAAGAAAAGCAGAGAGCGGTCTTCCGTTTCTTTTCTGTCCCTTTGGTGCACAGCACGTTGCTGAGCAGGCAGGACGCTGGTGGAGAGGGTGGAGGCTGCCCGGGCTGGCACAGCTGGTGCCTTACGGATGGGTGGGGTGGATCCACCTGCTCTCGCCAGCCGGGCAGGAAATGCTCAATGAATAAATGAATCTTGTCTTTCATGTCCTCTCGTGAATGGCAACATTTCTTTTGTCATTAATTCCTCAAAAACTATTAAGAATGGAGATGTGGTTTGTGCGGAAACATCTAAAGCCCAGACAGACTTTTACTGATGAGGGGCGTTGGACACTGTCTTTGTCTTCCTGGTGGCTCATGAACTAGCCCTCGACTGACTCTTTAGAAAGCTGAACTTTCTGACTTGACCTTTCTCTATGGGCCCTCCAGTGTTTCTGCGAGTTGATTGATGATAATATTGATTTGAAAAAAAATGAAACTTTAGAGTTAGTTGGGCAATGCTTTACCTCTTTTTAAAATCAACTTTATTGAGGTGTGATTTGCATACAATAAAATGTTCCCATTCTAGGTGTATTTTATGATAATTTTGACAAATATATGCATTCATGTAATTACCCTAAGAATCAAGATATAGATATGGTACTGTCCAATGCGGCAGCCACTAGCCACATATGGCTATTAAATTAAAATGAACTAAAATTAAAAACAGTTCCTCAGTTGTACTAGCCCCATTTCAAATGTTCAGTAGCTGCATGTGACTGTTGTCTACTGTATTGGACACTGCAAATTATGAAGCATTCCATCTTATATATATATATTTATATATATATGTACACACTGATATAAACCATATCCATCACACCAAAAAATTCCTTTGTGTCCTTTTCCTGATAATTCCTAACTCCCACCCCTGACTTCAGGAAATCACTAATTTGATTTCTGTTACTACAAATTAGATTTGTGTTTTCTAGAGCTTCATATATATACTGTTTATTCGCCTGCGTTTTTCTCAGCATATGGTTTCTAAGGTTTATGCATTCATTCTATTATGTATATAGTTAATTCACTGCTTTTTATTGCTGAATAGTATTCCATTTTATGACTAGACCACAATTTATTTATCCACTCACCTGTTGATGCTATTTGGGTTGTTTTGATTTTTGGGACTATGATGAATAAAGCAGTTAGTTTTTCATGTGGATACATATTTTTATTTCTCTTGGGTAAATACCTACGATTGGAATTGCTGGGTTGTATGTAAGTGTATGTTTAACTTGATAAGAGATTGCCAAACTGCTTTTCAACATGGTACCATTTTACATTCCTGTCAGCAATGCAGGGAAGTTCCAGTGGCTCCACCCTTACCAATTATTACTGATGTTTTTGTTTACTTGTTCTATTAATTACTGAGAGAGTGTGTCTAAATCTCCACCTATAATTACAGATTTTCCACTTTTCCTTTCAGTGACATCAGTTTTTGCCTCATATATTTTGAAGCTTTGTAATTAGCTACACACACGTTTAGGAGTGTTTTATCTTCTTTCTGAGTTGATTCTTGTTTCAGGAAATGCCCCTCTTTCCGCTGTTCTGAATTCTATTTTGTCTGCTAATATAGCCACTCGGCTATTTTTTAATTAGAATGTGCATGAATGATACATCTCTTTCTATCCCTTTTCTTTTAACTTATCTATGTGTTTTTATTTAAAGTGGATGTCTTTTAAATAGTGTATAGTTTAGTCTTGCTTTTTAAGAAAATCTAGTCTGAGAATCTCTGACTTTTATTTGGAGTCTTAGAGCATTTTTGTAAAAAAAATTGTAATTGACAAAGAATCAACTGTATGTATGATAAGTGTACAATCTGATGAGTTTTGACATGCATATACCTGTGAAGCCATCACCACAGTCAAGAAAAGGGGCATTTTTGTCAGTCCCTAAGTTTCTTTGAGCTCCTCTGTAATCTATTCTTCCCACCATTCCTCTTCCCAGACAACCACTGATCTGCTTTCTGTCACTACAGTTAGCATTTTCTAGAATTTTGTATAAATGGAAACATACCAGATGTATTCTTTTTTGTCTGGCTCCCTTTAAGCATCATAATGATTTTTTTTTTAAAGATTTTATTTTTTCCTTTTTCGCCCCAAAGCCCCGTGGTACATAGTTGTATATTCTTCGTTGTAGGTCCTTCTAGTTGTGGCATGCGGGACGCTGCCCCAGCGTGGTCCGATGAGCAGTGCCATGTCCGCGCCCAGGATCCGAACCAACGAAACACTGGGCCGCCTGCAGCGGAGCGTGCGAACTTAACCACTCGGCCACGGGGCCAGGCCCCTAAGCATCATAATGATTTTGAAATTCATTCATGTTGTTTTTGTTTCAATTTTTTTGTTCCTTTTTATTTCTGTGTAGTATTCCATCCACATTTGGGTTGTTTTAGCTTTTGGCTATTACAAATAAAGCTGCTATAAATGTCCTTATACCAGTCTTTGTATGGACATATGCTTTTATTTCTTTGGGTAAATACCAAGGAGAGGAATTCCTAGGTCATATGGTAGGCATAGATTTAATTTTTTAAGAAACTGCCAATCTATTTTCCAAGGTTTTTGTGCCATTTTACCTTCTCTCCAGCAGTGTATGAGCGCTCCATTTGCTCCCCTTTCTCATCAACAGTTGGTATGGCTCGTGTTTTTAATTTTAGTAATTTTATTTGGTGTGTTTATATTTCATTTACTATTGTCCATTCATAGGTCTTCATTTGGGAGGTTTCTGTTGAAAATTTTTGCTCAGTTAAAAAAATTTAGTTGTTTGTCTCCTTATTCTGATATATGTGTTTGGCTGATGGATGTGGTGCAAATATTTTCTCCTGGCTTGTGGGTTGCTTTTTTGTTTTCTTAATGATCTCTTTAGAAGAGTAAAAGTTTTTAATTTTGATCAAGTCCAATTTATCAATTGTTTTATGATTTATGTTTTTTTGTGCTATCTAAGGAAACTTTGTCTACCTAAGATCACAAAGATTTCCTTCTATGTTTTCTTCGAGAAGTGTTACAGTTTTAAGTTTTACATTTAGGTATATGATGCATTTTCGTGTAGGATGTAAGGTAAGTATTCATTTTTTTCCATGGAGAGATTTAGTTGTTCCAGCAGCAGTTTTTCAAAAGAATTTCCATTCACCATTAAAGTGCCTTGGCACTTTCCTCAAAAATCAATTAATGTTTATAGATGTGGGCAAAAAGATACAAGGTATATTCAAATAGTTTATCCATAAATCTCAGCAAGATACTGAGTGAAAGAGTGGGCCAAGCTTTAAAAATAATTTATGTGGTTATTAATCTGTTATTTTCATCAAATATAGTTTCCTTTTAATTATTTTTTTATGTTTGTTCCAGAATGAATTGTGCAATTCCCTTTGATTCTAAAACACATGAATGGTAACATCCATATTATGATAGCAGAAATCATCCTACCCATTACTTAAATGTTCAGGCTTTCTGGTGAAGAGAAGCCTTGTTCCAGATATTTGGGTTTGGTAACATTCCAGAATTTTCTTCAAATGCAAAGATTCTCTGAAATGACACAAAATGAAAAGATAACCAACTCTCAATTTTCCTAAAAATTCCAGGTTTATAGTATGGATAAAATAACCATAATTTAACTTTCTATATTAGGAGTGCCAAAATAAGTCAACATTTAATTCTGTGACAAAGAAAGAAATATGGAAAGGAACATCCAGTGCCTACGAAAAGAGAGATCTAAAAATTTAATGGTTTAAAAATAGTCTCTACATATAGGATGGGAAAGAGAATAATACAGATTGGACATTTTGGTTTTGAAAACGTGAAATGTCACCACTTAGAACAAATCTGTCATCTCCTAAGAAATACACGTTATACAATGAAATCTACAAGAACATTTTTCATCTTCTTTGTTGATTTTCAGCAAGCTCCTTCCTCCCCACAATAACAATACAATACAATACAACTTTTAATCTTCTTCTGGTAGAGCAGAACTTTGAGACCTACCATAGCGGTTGTCTTGTAAAGCACCTTCTGTAAGTTTCACTGGCTTTTTATCACACTTAGATCACATATTCTTTCTTAAATCTTTTCCTGTTTCAATGATTTGGTTGTTTAAAACATGCAAGCTTAATTAAGTCAAGACCTATATTGCAAATAAAAACGTTTTCAAATAGGCTGGACAGAACAATTAAATAAGAACTGGACCGAAAGATCACAGATAACACGCTCCTTGACTTGGTAATATGTGACTACATTTACCCACAGGGTAGGAAGTATTTCATTTGCCCATGATGAATCTAATGGCTTGTGGTGTGTTTGTGCTGTGCCAACAGCAACAGGTGCAAGGGGACAGGCTGTGAAATGGATATTGTGATGAGCTGTGAGACAGTGGTGGGCTGTACACACAGGGTCATTGGCCAGAAAGAACTGTAAGGATTAGATGGGCTCCATACAGTTGCTCTGAGTGTCGGGTCTGCATATACATGTTTTAAGGAGGGTGCAAGATCAAGCAATGAATTTTCTTAGAGTAGGAGATGGCTCTAACATTTAGGTGACAAAGGAACTGGGTAGTTTCCCTCAGGTGATGGGGGCGGTAGCACCTAAGTGAATGTTGAGAGTCAGAAAGGCCTCTACTTACTACTGGCGGATGGAACCATCCCTTCTTTTATGGGTGAGCGTAGTCTGATGCGTCTGTATGAATTCCTGCTGCGAATAATATGGTCTTTGCAAATCTAAAAACATCCTTTGGAAAACCTCCTGGCCAAATCACTCCTAAATGCAGATCAGAAAACCCTGGGGAAACACGTGCTCTCCTTTTATTGTGACCTCCTCTCAGTATGGAAAAACCCAGTCCTAACTGGGCGCATGTCCTCCAAATACATGTGTCTTTCCTCCAGCACCGAAAATATTGGGGCTTGGATTAACATAGGCTTCTGAAACTTTCTTTCTAAGAGGGCTTTTTCAACCAGAAGTGAGGCAATTTGCCATAATGTGCCCAAGACAGTCAATTTTGGAAGGGGTTGCAAAACAAGAACAAGTCATACCATGCCTCATTACTGGGAGGTGAACACCAGCAAATATACTATGTTCCCCAGACTTGGAAGTGACAGGCTCAGAATAATTGCTGGTACACGTAGAGCAATATTACAACTATCTGGTATGTTTTCTAAAAAAAAAATGCAGCATTAGGATGTGCTTACTAAGGTGCTTCTTAATTCATGTTTTTTAATGGAATGTATCAGACAAACATCTACAAATGAACACGAATACACAGGCATACACACGCATGTGGACGAGTTTCTGTACAGTTTGTCTTAGATGCTTATGTGTGTACACAAGAACCACACAGAAAAACACAATTCCCCCTCTAGCTCCCTGAATTTCTGAATGTCGTCTAACCCATAAAATGTTAAAATATTTCATTTCATATAAAATATCTATAAAAATAGATAATATTTACAAAAACCAGACAGTATTTCCAGTTTTCCCTAGCAACCCACTCAGTCCTCCTTTTCTCATTTTCTTTTCAGAACGTTGCCATCTCCAGCAAAGAGCGCTTGAACAGCTGCGCGGTCCTGGACAGGTCTGTGACTTGGTGTACCATTTCTTGCAAGGCCGTAGTGCTGGGGTAATGGAGGGCGGCCATCTTGGTCGCCATAACTATAGTCTTGAGCTGTTCACAGAGCTGGTTGCTGGAGTTCATCACTTTGTTGCGAATGTCCTGGGCAGCAACCTGCCTTGTCAGTGTGTCTCCAATGAACACCAGTTTGTGTGCACTTAGGATGACAAACTTGCTGTGCGCCACGAAGATCCGCGGGGGCTGGGCTGAGCTGACGCAACTGAAGAGAGCATCGATGGCATTGAGAAGGGAAATGAAATGGGTCTCACACTGGTCATAGTAGAAGCAGAGCAACTGCCTATCCTGAGCACCCACGCTGCTGTTTGTGGTCGGGAGGCTCTGAGAAGGCTTCCACTTGGAGATGTCATTCTCCACGGGCTTTGTAATTTCTTGTTCCAACAACTGGAACTGACTTAGCTGCAAGGAAGAAAAAAGCAGATTCATTAAGGGTAAGGCAGTGTGCTGTAATGAAGACTAACCGGGGCTTGGAGTTAAAAAGACAGGGATTGTAGTCCCTAACCAGTGTCAGGTGCTTGTTAGATGTAAGTCCTTGGTCAAGGTGCCTTGCATCCCCCAACTGTAAAATGTAGAGGTTGAGGAAGATGATCTCTAAGGAATCTTCCAGCTCAGGCCTTCTATGATTGGATGATCAGCCTCTGCTGCCCTTGGGCTGGAAGGAAGCATATGGTTGAAACCCAGCTCTGTTACCTACATCTTCATGAAGGTGTAATGAGTTAATATTTACAAAGTGCTTAGAATGGTGTTTGGTATATTGTAGCTCAGTGCTTGTTAAACATTGAGTGGTGGCAAGGGAAAACCAAATGCAGGGATCTCTTTGTCAAGCAAATCTCTGAGAGTTTGCTCCTTCTGGAGGAAAGCCTTGACTCTGGCCCTTCAAGACTCTTTGATAAACAACAATCCATGGCACTTTTCTGTTTCCCCTACTCTTTCTGTCAAGATGTATAAATGTTATCATCCAGCACGACAGGAAAGACTAATGCATATAAATATATGTGCACTATGGAAAAGAACCGCTCTAAGGGAATTTGAATGCTAATTGTACATCGTAACACTTAGCCCCCAGAATTGTGGAAAGAAAAGGACCTTGCACAGAGTCAGACTCAATGAGTGTTAGCTTTCTTCCTCTCTCCTCACTGCCCGCAGCTGGTGTGTTGTTTAAATTGCAATGATAATATCTCCAGCTATTACACCAAGTCTCAGGAGAGACTCTCTTTTGCAGGTAAGGACTATCTGTGACCTGAGCTTGGGACTCAGTCAGTCTTCTACCCTGAGGTAGGGCTGAGTCAGAGCAGGGATGACCTCACTCAGCTTCTCCCCTGAGAAAGGCACAGTCAGCTTTACTTTTCTGCAGAATCTGTTTTCTTCTTAGGAATTACTGTGGTTTCCACAGGTTTGCTAAAGCTCTGTTATCTTACTTGGCCAGATGCCAAAGAAAACATAAACAGATAGAGGATGATGCTTCAAGATATTTAGCTTATGCTTTTGCAAATATGTTCATAAATATATCATCTCATTAGATGGGGGGGTGAGGGGTTTTCTCAATTTACAGAGAATTAACTGGAGTTCAAGGAGGTTAAGTGACTTGCCTAAGGTCACAGAGTTGGTTGGTCAGAAAGCAAGGACGATAACGCTGGTTTCCTGAGTGCAGTGTGCCATTTCAGGTCTCTACATGACATTTCATTTCATCTTAAAAGGTTTATAAATCCTCAATCTATTTCTCGTTATTTTTATGCCCCTGTACTAGCAATACCCATATTATCTGCCCCACTCATGCCCAACTGTTGAATGAACCTGCCGTGTCCCAAGCCCTTAGTAAATGGACTTGATATATTTTAAAAACAGTGGATCCTGCCCTCCTACCCTTAGATTGGATCAAGTTGAGCCAAGCCATAGGCTTGTGTTGTAGGGGAGAGATAGATGATAGATAGATAGACAGATAGATGGACAGTTGATAGTTGATAGATAGATACATAGATACATAGATAGAGATGGCCCAATCAGACTCTCCTTTTTGGGAATTTAATGAATCACAGAAGGAACTGACTATCAGCTGAGGAAGCTGAGATGAAAAGCCATCTTTAGAAGGGGCTTTGAGTGGCCATTTACGGGTTTTGTAAAGTTATAGAGGAGCCAAATGAGTAGATAAGAAGAGGAAACTACCAAAAGATAGAGGAGAAGCAAGCAGATTTAGAGAGAAGTAAAAGAAGTACAAGAAGAGGAGAGAATTTACAGCCCTAGTTCTCATCAGACTTGGCTATATCTTTTATTTTCTGTTCCTGAATCCCCTACCATGGCCTGACTATAAAACCTGTTTTCTTGGGCTGGCTTGAGTGGGTCTTGTTCCTTGAGACCAACAACCTTAACCCAAATAGTCCTAATATGTCAGAAGCACAGGTTTAGCCTGGAAACATTGCCGTTTGGACGTAACCTGTATACCACCAGATTACTGAAGCCATAAACCTTCTCGCTGTTCTTGTACCCTGTTATATGCCTTGGAGCTTATTTATGCCAAAGTGTGCTGGAAGGATCAAAATCAATCGTTTGAAGTTATACCTTCCTTATTAAGTGAGAAATCTTTTCAATACCAAGTAGGTTTTGTTGTGACTGAACTTACCTGATGATGTTCCAGCTGCATCTTGTTCTGTTTGATGATATTTTCTTTTTCCAACAGCTCTTTCTGTTGCCTCTCAAACTCCTCTTTACCCTATTATTTTTCGACATAAAGAAACATTACATCACCACTGTGATTCATTTATGCTAACAATTTCATTGACAAACGCGTAAATACTCTTTCATTTTCCACTGCCTTGGCAATTTCCCGCATGCCCAATTAGGCCTCTGTGAACCCAAGACAGGGATGACGTGCTTCTCGGCCAGACTTCCAGAGTCACCGTGTAGGTTAGGGCTGAAAATCATAATCTGTTTCTGTGTAGGGGGCCACGCTCTCTGCTCCACTTTACCATTTTCCAAGAGTATCCATGATCCCCTTCAAACACCTTAAGCAGTACCATTTCTCAGGGTTCTTTTCTGATAGATTATATGTGGACCCATAAACCTCCTAATGCAGGTCTAAATGTGGCCCACAGTGCACTTCTAGTTTCTCGGAATCACTTACAACTCTACACCAAATTAGTATTTCCCAATATGGAGAGATGGACAACCAGCCAGGTGAATGTTTAATGTCTCCATCTACTCTCTCCCCACGTCTTTCCTCAGTCCTAGGTGTGGCTTAGTGCTCCCTTTCCCAGTGTCTTGCACTCAAGGGAACTGTAGTTAGTTTAATAGTTCTCAGGATAATCCGTGGCTCTCAGTCAAATGAAAAGAACGGCAGAATAAGAAAGTGAGCCAAATTCTAAATAATGGATCTTAATCCCCCAAAGCAAAAGGGCAAGCTATCAGGATCCCAGGCCAATTTGGGGGAATTTCCACTTGTGGGTGGCAGACTGTGACTGCCCAGTTTCCCATATTCAGGTTAAGTTCTAGGTCAAATGGCAAATGCCTAGTGGTCCTCAAGGTAAGTTTGAGGTGTGGTTGAGTTTTTCTGCAAGTTATTACACACACACACACACACACACACACACACACACTACAGAGCTGAGGGGACCTTAGAAATTCTGTAGTGCAGAGGTTTTCAATTTTTTTTTCTTAACAGTGAACCCCCCCCTTTTTTTCAAATAAAATATCATGCAGAACTAAATCATAAAATGCAAATGGAACTGGTATGATAATCTGAAGGCCAACTATCCTACTTGGGGCATCTCTGCCTGCTTGCCTGAGGCACACCAATGGGATCTAATCCAGCCCTGTGCTTCGCTCATTTTGTAAATGAGGGAATGAAGGTCCAGGGAGGTTGTAGAGATTGGTCACACAATTAGTACCAGGGATAGGTCTAGAGCTGAGGGCTCAGGACTTTCAGGCCCATGTTCTTCCTACTATACAGCATTGCCTCCAGTTTACGAACCACTAATGATGTTTGTGAACCATTAATCATGTTCTCTGCTCTAGTAGTCCAGCCTAACAGCCTGACAGGCATTTGTCCCAGGCTCTCTGAGTGAATATAAGTTATTATGAGCCTGCTTTCTTTACCTGTAGGTGGACATAGTCATAATCATCCATCCAGCTCCTTTCAGAGCCATCACTGCTGCTACAGTCAGGGGGCTGGTCCTTGCCCAGGTTATGGGGTAATGGCTTGTTGAGGCCTTGGGCCTTGTGGTCCCCAGGATGTAGCAGCTGCATCTGGGACCCAGCGTGGGGGTAGTCAGTGGAGTTCATGATGTTCTCAGGCCCATTCTTTACATGTGAGCTACCAGGGCCTGGTCTAAAGAGGGCTTCTGCGTTGGTATTGATCGTTGTGGTGAGCTGCTTGGCATCATCGGGCACCGTCTTTGCTACCATCACAAACCGGTCCAGATCATCACACTTGTTTTGGGGCTTGTTGATGGCCAGAATATTCAGGGACCAGCTGCACTCATTTAAGTCATGGCTGGTTTGGCTCAGAATCTGGTGGGAGTCTTCTACTCTTTGGAGCTCCCGCTTCATTTTGTTGTGGAGGGTGAGTTCTGGGAGGCAGGAAGCATTTGCTGCAGCTCCCTTGGCAAAATGGAGGTAGTCCCTCAGGAACAGCTCCACCTTGTCCACTGCGGTGCGTATCTCGTTGATATGTTGTTCCATGTATCCGTAACACCGCCAGTCTGTGGTGACCAGCGCCATTAGGCTGGAGACGCCCATCTCCAGGGTCTGCTGGAGCCGATGAAGTCTCTCAATGGCTGTGTCTGGATCCAATAAAAGCCTTTTGTCCTGAGATGGGGAGGCCGACAATGAAGATTCCTTTGAGGTGGTGGAAGATGTGGACATATTACTCCTGGTGCTGCCTGTACTGGAGAAAGATAATCGGTTGATACCATCTACCACGTCCTGAGAGCCTTTGGCATCTGGTGGGTTGTGCAGAGGGACATCGTAAACACCGTCTCTTTCTTCGGGGTTTGCTTTCTCACTGGTTTCTGCTGGCGGTTCAAGAAACTGAACCCCTCGGGGGACATCGTAGGCATCGTTCTGAGTGCCCACTGACTGCCCCAGCTGTGGGGGGGGATGGTTCAGGGAAATGCTTTGGTGTCTTCGCGTCACCAGTTCAGCAGGTCCAGCAGTGTCACAGTTATATTTTATGTGAAGGTCCTTCCCCACCGGCTTGGTGCTGGTTGGGGGGATGTCATAAATGCCCTCAGGTCTGATGTCCGGCCTTCCAGCTTGTCTCATCGGAGGGGGGAAGTCATACTCTTTTTCCCTAAGCCCTGCTTCATCTCGGCAAGCAGAGGGTGGAATGGCATATACCTGCAAAGTAAGTAAAAAATGAAGCTGTCATTTGTTCTGTTGGCTCATGTGAACACGTGGAAACTGAGCGGTACATTAAAATCAAGGCCAGAATTCTCAGTCCTGCTTTCTGGCTCTTCTTCTTTCACTCTCCACCCACTAATGGTAGGTATTTTCCAACTCTGCTCTGCTCTGCTCCATTCCCACTTCCCTCATCCTCTGACAAGTGCATCCTTTCCGTGGCCTCAGTGCTGCCTTGTGTGGACCCCTGCTGGCTGAGTTGCTCTTCCCGGGTCCCAGCTTCAGTTTCTGAGCACCTCCTGGGTATCCTTCCTCAGCTGATCCAGGCTGAGAGGCAGATTATGCATTAACATAACTGACTAGGTGTCAGAAGACCTGCGGTCTCTCCCCGGATCTACCAGCTGTGTGATGCTGAATAAGTCACTTAAAGTTCTGAGACACAGTTCCCTTATCCGTAAAACAAGGCTCGCTGTACTTCCTGTGCAGGCATACACCAGAGGGCAACAGAGTGAGTCAAATGCATTAGTCCATAATGGACTAAGTAAGCTGTAACACCCTATATAAACAGGAGATATATGAGATAGCTATATGAGATATATTAATTGCTTGCCAAACTGAATTAATTGTTTTACCTTCTAACTGGCTTTCCTTATTGACTGCCCCATTTCTTTTTTAGTAGGAGCCCCTAAATATGGAATACCTAGAATTATCTTTCATTATTGTTTTTCCTTTCTTCCTTCCTTCTTTCCCTCCATCCCTCCTACCTTCCTTCCATTTACTTTCTCACCAAGACCAGTTTTTCTCCTTTGGGTTTGCCCTTGCCACCTTCACTTACCCCTTTAGTAGGAGGGATGTCATAGACCCCTTGAGGTTTTATCTCTCCCACTGGAACTGAAAACACAGGGCCTTTTGCTGACGATGGAGGGATGTCATATATCTGAAAAGAAACACTTGAGTTACCCACAATGGAGGTGTCTTACACTTGTCATGATTTCCATTACTAAGCTTTTAACTATGGATTTGTTGACCAGCTCACCCTTGCTCTGTAGCAGCATTCTATGTTTTAAGGGATTGATGGCATTTTTCTAAGTTTTGTGTTCTTTGACTTAGACTAAATATAAAAATGATCTTAAGCAAAATATCTACGCTGTATTTTACTTTTTAAATTTTTAAATTAATTATTTTATTGAGATATAATTGAAATATAACATTAGTTTCAGATGTACGACACGATGATTCGATGTTTGAATGTACTGTGAAAAGATCACCACCGTAAGTCTAGTTAATGTTTATCACCTTACATAGATATGAAATTTTTTTTTCTTGTGATGAGAACTTTTAAGATCTACTCTCTAACCAACTTTAAAATATGCAATACAGAATCATTAACTAGAGTCCCCATGTTGTACATTACATCCCCAGTCCTGACTTATTCATAACTGGAAGTCTGTACCTTTTGGCCCCCTTCACCCATTTCACCCACCCTCCCCTGGCCCCACCTCTGGGAACTACCATTATCTATATTTTAAACTGTAGTTTAAATTTTATACTTCCTGAAATAAAATGATAAGCAACAAAAGCTTTGTCAGATAGAAGCCTAAGATTTCCTGATAAAGCAAATCCAGAAAACATAATTTAAATAACGTTGGCTAAAATGGATCCTGAATAGAAACCTAAAGGAAGCTTCCTATGAAATATACACAATTTGTCATTTCCCTTTCCTCTGCAGCCCTGAAGGAACGCTACCCTTAAAGCTCGTCTCTCCCGGTGACCACGTTCCCGGTACATACCCCTTGAGTGGCATGGGAAGGGGGGATGTCATAGATGTCCTTTTGGTGTCTGGATGGGTACTCGTACACATAACCATGGCCCGACCTGACAGGGGTTATCACCTGTGGGCAAGAAGACACAGAGGTGTAAAATCCCAAGCCCCCGGCCTGAGCGAATCTCTTCACCTCCTAAACAGGCACTCCTCCCTCCCCCAGAAAAAGAAAGAAAGAAAAAAACCAAAGAGAGAAGGAAGAGAAAAGGAAGGAGACAAGGAGACACCAGGTCAGTAAACTTTTAAAACCCTCTTGAATACCCATAAAGAACAAGCCCCTGAAATATCTCTGTCCCCCCGCCTCCCAGTAATAAAGTCATCTCAAAGTTGGTCAGATTAAGTCTCAATTCCCAAAGTGTACTTTAAGGGAGAATTATTTTTAAACCACGGAAGTCCTACATCGTCCCTTTGGAGCATCAAAAGCACAGCATAATGAAAAAAAAAGTTTTTTAAAGGCTCTGAAACTATTTGTAAAGTGAATAATACAGAGTTTGGTCGCTTAAAATTCCTCACATATCTTCCCCCAGGACTCCTCTTCATCTGACATTATTATAACTAAAATTCCATAGGTCACTAGAGTACTTTTATGCAGCTAATGCTCAAACAGCGCTGCCCTTGGAAGCCTCCAGGAGCTTTCAGTCTAAGTTAGGAAACCAGTGCAGGACTGAGTCGGGGAGCAACCAGGAGCAGAGTGCAGGTCTCTCTTCATTTTCCCATTTCCACCAGGGAAGCACACATCCCAGACAGTACCTACGACCCATGCAAGGGATGTCAGAAGTCAAATATGCTCACCACAACTCTGGCATCTGGAACCAATGTCAATGAAATGAATCTCACCCAAGAGGCTTGTATTTTCATATCTACATACTTCATTCTGTCCTAAGCATGGGTAGAGAATTATTTGAACTTAAACTCATTTTGAGATATATTTAATCCTCCAAGGGCTTCTAAATTCCCTGGGTTTGTTTCTGCCTAACCCCTGCCCCCCGAATGACGAACAGCGCCCACCTCCGTATTGCCCATGACATTTTGAGGACAACAGATATTGCAAATTAGGAAGAGTTGGTTGTTCCCTAAGAAACTGTCATCTTTTATCCTTTCTGTAGTGTGCAAACTCTGGCGTCAAGCTGCCTACAAAACTATGTGAAAAATGCTCATGTCCGACTTATGCTGAATTGGATGGAATTCAGCCAAAGGCACCAATGCCCTTCTCCCTGGGGGGCTTTAAAATGCCCGAATTCAATTTGGCTTTAAATCCCTGGTGCACGCAGCTGATTATTTCTTGCAATGAAGGCAAAAGAGATTAGTATGCAGTCACCATCCCATCAAATCTCTCCACTGCCTTGGGTTTAAAAAAGGACTCTATCGCTTTAAGGTTTGTTGGCATGGAGCATACAGAACCATTTTATAGAGTGGCCACTGTACTGTGCACAGCAAATCTTCCTTTTCAAAGCAGGATGCCCTTTGCTCAAGAAAAACACACTGTGTTCCTAATGCCCTTATGTAATTTTTTTTTTCACTATTGTCCAGGAAAGAAATGAAGTTATCTTCTCTTAGTCTACCTCATCAGCTCCTCTATTTATAGCTCTCTATTTGGGCTTTATAATAGAACCTGCTCACAACGCAGCTTTTGTTCAGGCTACAAGTTTCTAAGAGTGGGGTCTGTCCTGGGTTGCCAAGTTAGCAATAATGCTAATGGAAAACCAAGGCTGGTTATGCTGAAGCCAGCTGAATGGTTTCATCTTTAGAGTCAAAAAGGGAGCGGGGCTAGGAGACAGACGGGGTGGTGGTGGTATCTGAAATAGCCCCGGATGAAATGAACATACGGCATGACCTCAGAAAGGCGGGGTCACGGATGAGGCTTTCCTCGCCTTTGTGGATCTTCCCTGGCAGAGAGCATTAATGCTCCCCGATATTTAACATCTCACTTCCTGACAAATGTCACAGAACCCCAACTTGCTCTCTCTTTCTCATTTAGAGGATGCCTGTGGTCATCTGGTTTTTAAAAATTTCGCATTCCAAACCAGTCATTTTCCTTGTTTATGCATTAAAAGAAACAGATGGTGAAAACCACAGGGGGGGAAAGCCAACAAAATACAACCTCCCCGATGCCAGCATTCCTGATGTTACCATCTAATTCACGTTGGTCCACAAACGGCATTTAAATGGGGCCAACGTTTTGCATCTGGGCAGACACATCCAGGGCATGCAGCGATCTGCTGTGTGACGCAGGAAAGAACAGAGAGCTGCAAGTCTACTTTTGGACATTCTCCTCCTCAACCCATTGCTTGGGTCACTTACATGCCAATTGTGTGTTCTTTCCTCAGAGGAAAGTGCTGACTGTTCTGTACCTTACAAAGTATCCAGTTTTGTGGTTCATAAGGCCTTTTCTTCCTGCTTGACATAGCACACAAAAACCTTTCTACTATCCCAGAATTACTGAACCTCAGCGTACGAGGAACACCAAGGCCTAGCTAAGGGGACGGAAACTTTGCAAGAATTCTCCTGGGCATTGCACAGCAAGGCACTCATGGAATTGCTACACACAGGGCATTTTACAATTAATTTTCTCAATGAAATCACGTCAGATTTTTCGCTTCCCTTTTTCCCTCTGTTTGTTTTTCTTTTCTCCATTCTTTTCATTCTGTGTATTTATTTATAGTTACAAGGGTTTAACCTTAGGAATTACCAAACCGACCTATTCGTTCACTAGGGTTGCCACAAAGGGGGCTAAACTGTGGGGTTTCTGGTGCTCTACGACCACTTTACTGCTTTCCTGTCACCCTGCCAGAGGATTTGCATTTTCCAAATATAGACTTTCTCTTCTGATGAGGAATGCAACCTTCCTCAGATGTTAGTATACCATTCTTGTCAACTAATAGGAGAATCTTTAAGAGACATGGTGCAAAGAAGGGCAGACTGTAGAAATTTAGAAAAGGAGGAGTCCATTTACTAAATCTCCAACACTGGGCCCCGGCAGCATAGGATCGAAACAGTCCAGAGACTGGCGTGACGTTAGCTCTCTTAATTCGTCTGCTCGCATCAAAATAAGCAAACACACATGGCTGGCCCCGCCCTGCCCTTTGGTGTGTTTGGTTCACACCATTTCAAGCCTCAGATCCTGGGCAGCCCGAGCTGTTTTTAGAGACGCTTTAAATACTTCCATGTCTCATAATCTTGAGAGCCGTGCATGCTGAGATTTTAAAGAAGAGTCTGTATTGGAGGCAGCAGCGAGGCCTAGGGAAAACTGAAAACCAACAGGTGTGAGGGTCAGAGAGCTGGAAGAGAGGCTCCTGGGTCAGGCATTCAGGCCTCTACATTTGGTTGGCTAGGCGCAGACCTGTAGAAGAGATGCCTGCGAGGCTGAGCAGGTAGGTGGGCAAGGGAGAAACAAGCCGGGATTCTGTGCTGGGGAGACAGAACTCAGACCCTACTGAAATCAGGAGGCAGCCATGCCTCAGCTCCAGCCAACTGCCATCCTGAAAAAATACACCCTGTGTTGCCAGATCTTTCAAATTTTCAGGAGAAGCAAGAAATCTGGATTTTTATGTGAATCTGATTTTCAAAATTGGCTCAAACATTTGAAAAGCATCTTGGCCAAACTAAACTTGTCTCTGGCCCCCAGGGTGCCATCTTCGCCTGCATCTGTCTATTTCTGCCCTCCTCCCTCGGTACCTTGAAAGCCTCTGAGGGCAGGGCCCGAGCGCTCTGCACCAACTCCATGCCTTGGCAAGATTGAACTATCTGTTTTTTATGTACGCCCTGCACTCCACACCTCTGTGCCTTCACTCACACTGTGTCTTTGTGCAAGATGCTCTTCTGCCTTTCCTCATATTCAAATTTTATTCAATTTTCAAGGTCAACCTGAGTGCCCCTCTCCCATGGAGACTTTCCCAGACAGATATAATATCTCCCTCCTTGAACTCCCCGAGTATGTTATCCATGCATCCTAATGGTACTGATCTTTTGTGGTTTGACTGTTATGGTGCATCTCATCTCTTCCCTTAGCATTGTGGAGACAGACCACTTCTTTTTCATTTGTGTATAAACAGCAGGGCCTAGCACGGTGCCTCGAATATAACAGGTCTTAGATAAATTTATTGATTGAATACATTAAAGAACTAAAGGAGAACTCAAGGCTTTTCTTATGCAAGTTGGTGTGGAACTAGAGAGACACTAAACAAGGTCTGCCTATGTAGGATAAGGTTGGTTTCCAGGTAAGTCAGCTCTAGGTTGAGTGGGACCCATGGGATAAGGGGCAGAACTGTGTCTTAGCAGCCAAGTTAGGAGCCAAGAAAATGGAGTGAATGTTAGGTAAAGTTGAGAAACCAGAAGCCATGAAGAATTATCACCTGCACCACCATTCGGTGCAAACCACGATGGGAGGCCAAGAAGTGCCACTACATGGTTTCCTTTTCCCCAGTCTAGAGCCTGCATGTGACATGAACACCTGCATTCTTGTCAGCCACAAGCTGGAAACATATGGGGGAGTTTTGCAAAAAGGAATCAAAACAAACTCTGCTTTTTACTCTAACATCAGAAGGAAAATACAACAGAAAGGAACAGGAGTCATGCTTTCTCTAGTTCTGAAAATATGTGACAGGTCTGTGTCATGAAAAGCTGCGTACCAGAGGCCAAGGCCACAATGGGTCTTTAGCTCATTGAAAGGATTAGGTGATGTGAAGGAAGTGATTGAGAACAGAAGTTGGACTCAGGCAGAGCTGGATCTAAATCCTGGCTCTACCACTTACTAGCGCTAAGAACATGACCACGGTATTTGTCTATTCTAACCCTCTTTCCTCATTAGTAAGTGGAAATAATAATACTTATAGGCTATTGTGAGTATTAAATGAGATCAAGTACATAACATACCCAGTGAAGAGTAAACCCTCAAGCCTTAGGTATTTTTATTATAAGTGTCACCTGGGCTATATAGATTTTACTTTTGGACTTAAATTGTGGACTAGGCAGTTGAGACCAACCATCCTACTGCAGACAGCTTTAACAACTGTCTTGTTTAATAGCTGTTTGCTAACAGCTTTAGCAAACAAATGAAGAAAAGATACTAAA